ACATACATGCCAAAAACAATCAGGGACAAAGCTGGGGCCCTCGGGGGTTCCCCGCCTCTGACCTCACACCTCAGTAGCTCCGCCCTTCTCTGCCAGATTCCCAGATGGAAGGTGGCAGTGGATGCTGACACTTCATTGTCTTGAAGGTGGAGAGCAGAGGAAAAAGCCTGCCCCAAATTACCCGGACTGAGGCTGTGGGGTTGAGAGACCCCAAAACAACGGTGGGCCCTGGCCAGGTGGCTCAGTTGGTTGGAACAAAAAGGTGGAGAGCAGAGGAAAAGCCTGCCCAAAATTACCCCGACTGAGGCTGTGGGGTTGAGAGACCCCAAAAACAACGGTGGGCGCTGGCCAGGTGGCTCAGTTGGTTGGAACATCATCCCGTACGCCAACAGGTTGCGGGTTTGATTCCTAGTCAGGGCACATACCTGCTTGTTTCAGGCAACCCTGGTCTCTCCCCTCCTCTCTCTCTCTCTCTAGAAATCAATAAAAAGTGAGGGGGGGGGGCAGGGGAAGTGAGAGACATCTGTAAACTGTCAACAATAAAGCAATTTAAATAAATAAATATAAATACATATCAATAAAAACACATCCTCTGGTGAGGATTCAAACAAAACAAAACAAAAAAGCCCACAACTGCAGGAAGCTGGGTTTCCAGAGGCCTGGCCAAGCCACCTCCCTTGCCTGGAGGTCAGATGTCCTTGGAGAACAGATGGAAGAACAAGGTGCTGTCCCCTAGCCCAGCTTCCATCTGACGCCGGGCCAGGCTGGGCAGCTTCCTTCCCCTCCATCCTGTCGGTCCCCACCTCTGGGGCTACATCCTGGCAGCCAAATCTGTCCCAAGCCCACTGCTTCCTTCTCTGCCCCCCCCCCCTCCACCGATGGCCCATCAGGTCCCCAAGAACAAGGCCTGGCCCACTGCCTGCACTGCTGCGCCCAGCGCCCACCGCGGTGAGTGTTGGAGAAATATTTGCGAATGAGTGAGTGCATCTCCTGCCTGGGAGATGGCACCAGCCTCCCACCTACTCTCTCCCTGTCTCTCCTCTTTCCTTCTCACCAATCACCTAGGGACTTTCTAAAATAATTATGTTACAAATGATCATAGGAAGCACTGGCCAGGGAGCTTAGTTAGTGACAGCATCGTGCCTATATGCCACGGTTGCTGGTTTGATCCCCAGTCAGGGCACATATAAGACTCAACCAATGCACGCATAAATAAGTGGAACAACAAATCAGTGTTTCTCTTCTCTCGCTCATCAATAAACAAAAAATATGTATATAAAATAAAAATGTTTCATTAATAAAAAATAAAATGAAAATAATCATAGTAATTGCAAGCACATGTGCCAGCCACTCTACTAAGAGCTTCCCAAGTATTAGCTCATGGAATTCCCACCTGCAAAGTAGGTACTTTTATTATCATTCCCATTCCACAGAGGAAGACAGGCAGATACTCATTCAAGTCGTATCACTCCTCTGGCTAAAACCCTTCATGGCTCCCGATGTCCCCAGGACACAGTCCCAATTCCAGCATACGGCCAACCTGCACCCTGCAGGCCCCACCCGTCTCCCCACTCCGTTCAGTTGCTCTAGCCCATTTGCTGTATCCGACCTGCAGGTGTTTGCATAGACTGTTCCCTCTGCCTGGACCCTTCCCTCCTCTCCTGCCAGCCTCAGGTGGCCACCTCCTGCTCACCCGCCTCTGCTTTGATATCACTCCCCCAGGAAGCCCTGATGCCCCTCTCCTGGCTCCCTCATCCCCCCGGCTGTAAGAGCCTGGCTACACGTCAGTCCTCTGCTCGCCTGCATGATCCACAAGAGCAGAAACGGAGTCACCTTTGCCCCCCAGTGCACAGGGCCGAGCACCCAGCAGAGGTTTAGAAATGTTTACTGAGGTTTCTAGAGGTGGGAGAGGGTGGAGTCATCTCTGCTGCAGAAGAAGCCAAAACAGGTCACTCTTTGCTGTTCAGGATCAAGCCCAGACTTACGTTGATACTGTCCCCTGGGGTAATGGCAACAGGAACAGCATGCCTCTCTCTACCAGGTGCTTATTATGTGCCAGATAAGCGCTTCACATCAATTAGTTCATTTAGCCCTGAGAGATTTGTTGTTATTATCCCCACTTTACAGATGAGGAAATGGAGGTACGGAGAGGTTAAGTCCGTTGCCAAAGTCATAGCTGGGAAGTGGCAGAGCAGGGTGCGCAGTCCAAATTCTTAACCTATAACTGAGGAGCTGGCAACAGCCTGGAGCAAGAATAATGGCCACCCTCCCCACCCCCGCCCGGGAGCCTTGATTTTACACACTGGCCTGTGCCTATAGCTGGGTTTAGGGAAAGGCAGAGGGATGGGGAGGACACAGGGAGAGTGACTGAGAGCTGAGAATCCACCTCACCTTGGGGTCAGCAGGAGGCCCTTGGCCACTCTGTCCCTGGGGCTGTGTCCTTGGAGTGGCCCTGCCCCCTAAAAAGAAGGAAGCCCCAGCCCCCTTCAACAGAATGAGTCACTGCACGAGGCCAGGCTGAAAATAATGGACCTTAGGAACTGGGAAGGTTCCTGCCAGAGTGGGGGAGGAGACTGTGGAGGCCCAAGGGGACAGACTCGCGGAGGGCCTGGATGGACATACAGGGCCTGGAAAGGTTGAGGAAAGGCTTTGGTCCCCCAACAAGGTCTTCCTTCCATAGAGTAAGGCCGACTCCCCACTCACTCCTAGCCCTGAGACCTCCATAAACAAAACTCACCCCTCAAACACAGCCCACTGGGGTATGTAGCTCTGGGAAGAGGAATGGTGGATGTCTCAACCACAGCGCTGGGCGGCCAGCCCTCATCTGGCTGGCCCCTGCTCCCTGGGACAGTCTGCCCTGCTCACCCACCGTGACCTTTATTCTCAGGGCAGCCAGCCAGCCGGGTGGTGGGCAGCCGTGGAAGCCTGACTATAAGAGAAGGAATCTGCGTTTTTTGTAAGTCCCAGCGTTGGGCACACCCACGGCAGAATAATTAAGCTCATGGGATTCTTGCCACAGCCTGAGGACCACAGAGAAGGAGTGGGGCAGGACAATCGGTGGCCTGGCCCCACGGAGGGCTCTGTAATCACCAGGAGTCAGTTTGGCATTTGCAGAAGGAGAAACGGAGGCTTCCTAGGGCAGCGGCAAAGCTTCTGACAGATGCAGAGTGTAGAAAGGGTGCAGAGTTCCATTTCCGAGGCCCCCCTAAAGAAGTGACCCCTTGCTGATGCGCCTACTTGGAGAGAACTGCACAAAATTCCCTCGACACCCTTATGTCACGTCCACACAACTTCAACACACACATTGATCCCCGAACCTGGCCCCCCGCAACCCTGTCACTCCCCAACCCAGCTCCGGACACTGGGTCCCCTTCCCACCAGCTGGTGTGCCCCCACACCTGGCCCCTCCTCATTCCCTCCTGAGCCTCTGGGCCAGTCCTACCTCCCAGCATACCCCCCCGGCCCTGGCACCTTCCCACCGAGGCCTTTGGTCAGACTTACACTCACTTGCCGTGTGCTCACCGCCTATGACCCACCTCCAGGTGCACACCTGAGCTATATATACACCTTGAGCTCTCTTCAGCACGTACCCATCCACACCACAACCTGAACCCCGCCCACACACCTAGGTATGCGCACCTGTACGCCAGCACTCAACTGAATGACCTCACACGCACACCTGGGCCATATTCGAGCTAGTTGCCCCCATCTCAGCTGACACCTGTACCCTCGAGAGTACACCTAAGTCCCCGCAAATGCACCTGTGGCCCAGAGCCCACACTTGTGTCCCCAGACGCTCGCACCAGTGACGCGCTAAGCGGGCAATCCACCTAGTTACCGGCCCGCTCTCCCGCGGCGACCTGAGCTGGGTCCCCCGCACCGCCAGGCCTGGACGTACCTGGATGTTGCGCTTGCTGTCGCAGGCTGGCCCGGTGCCCTGCACCACGCTGTCCAGTACCGCCACCACGTCGGATGCCGGCTCCACGAAGCAGGCGGTGCGCGCGGCGCGGATGGCCGCTTGC